ATAATGAAAACGTTTGTGATTTTCAAAAATAAATTCTTACACAATCCACCAAGATAACGCATTGTGCAGTGAATGCAATATGTTAATTAATTCATTTACTTAGCATATGTTTATCATGGACACTATGTTCCAGGCAATGTTCTAAGTGCTGGAATACTATATGGTAAATATAATAGACAAGGTCTCTACTTACTTTTGATGGGTGGCGGAGTGGCAGATAGTATAGAAGTAATTAAATGAACAAACAGGATAATTATAGATGGAGATAAATGGTTTGAAAAAAGTGAGGCATACAATTGTCAATGGGATAAAGGCAACTCTCAGTAGAGCTCCTTGAAGAAGAGACATTTGAATGAAACCTAAATGAAAAGAGTACAGTTATGCAAAAGCAGAAGGGCAGAAGCAAACACAAAGTACCAAGGCTGAAACAAACTTGGCCATATTAAAAAAACAGAGAAGGCAGTATGTCAGAAGAATAGTGAAGGATGGGAAAGAGGTACCAAAAGAGGATAGATAAGTAGGCAAATGCCAGGTCATGTAAGGACTTGGAATCTTATTCTCAGTACAAAGAGAAGCCACTGGTATGCTTTAAAAGCAATGATGTAATCTGTTATACATGTGAAAAATGTCTTCTAGTTATTGATAAGAAAAGATACAGGTGTGTGTGTGTGATAAGAAAAGATACAGGGGTGTGTGTGTGTGTGAGTGTGTATTTGGGGGAGGGTTTGATAGGGAAAGGGAGGCTGATTGGCCAGAGTGGACACTCAGGGAACACTTTGAGTCTATTGAAATTATCTTGGCAAGAAAAGATGTAATTTTAATTAGAGTAAAGCAATAGAGATGGAAAAAAGCGGATAGAGTAAAGACACATTTCTCACATTGAGTCAACAAGATTTGCTGCTGAATTCAAAGTGTGATGCCTGAAGATGACAAATTTTGATAAGATTAAAATAAAAAGTTTAGATTAGGAAATTATAAATAATAAAAGTGACCATTCAAAAGAAAAAACAGAAATGAACCATAAAAGCCTGAATAGTTGCAATGTTTGAGCTTCACATCCGTGTTTCCAAGTAGCCAAAACAAAGATAAATATGGTAGTAGACATAGTTATATAATTTCATTATTAGAAAAAAAGAATCATTCCAAGTATTCATGGTAAGAAAAATTTTCTTAAGTTGTAAAAAAATCACCTCTAATTCCTTTCTCCTCCACCAAAGAAGCAACAACAATTTACATAGAATTTTTATAGATGTTACTAGAAGATCCTGCAGGGTAGCACTATTGAAAGAAAGAAGAAAGTTGTGTTTTTATATATTTATACCTCTTTGGGTGATGTCTCCCTCATGGAATGCCTCTCCTATGTTACTGATGAGTTAAGTTAGGTTTGGAATCTTTTCCTACTTAAAAAAAAAAAAAAGATGTTCTTGGGGCCAGCCCAGTAGCATAGCAGTTAAGTTCACATGCTCCACTTTGGTGGCCCAGGGTTTGCCAGCCCGGATCCTGGACGTGGACCTATGCACTGCTTATAAAGCCACGTTGTGGCAGGCAACCCACAAATAAAGTAGAGGAAGATGGGCACGGATGTTGGCTCAGGGGCAGTCTTCTTCAGCAAAAAGAGGAGGTTTGGCAGCAGATGTTAGCTCAGGGCTAATCTTCCTCAAAAAGAAAGAAAGAGAGATATTCTTTACCCTTGTTTAGAAGATCAATTCAGAAAACTAAGAGAGAGGAGGCAAGAAACAGGCTGAGTCAGGGATGATACATAGGTGGCATTCATACATTTCCTTTCTTATGCATACCTATAGAAGAAATCACTTTTGTATCGTGGTACTCCAACATATTCAGATGTAGCCTCAAAATCTTTTAAACCCAGTGCTTCAGGCTGCCACTATTATTTGAGCAGTAACGGCAAATAGAAACAAACACAATTTCCTTGCAGTTTTTACTAATTTTTACTAATTTTATTTGTAACTGATAGGTAGAATGGAACAGTTCCTCAGGTTGAGAGCCTACATAGTGATTTGGGGACAACATCCCAGCTAGGGCTCAAGAACATTTGTATCTTGGATGTTTTCTTTGCATACATCTCAGTTTAAACTTGGAAGACATTGAGAGACATCTGCTGAGCAAATCAGAGTTTCAGAATTATAATCATCTCTATCTTTTTTGCAAAAGTACAATTAATAAATTTAAATGTAATTAATATATATATTTTAAAATTTCTACTCTCCTAAGAATACCTCTTTGTTTCTATCCATGATATATAAAAACTGATTATATAATTTTCTAGAGGAAAAAGTCCGTAAATCCAAAACAGCAGAAGTATTAGTAAATACAAAACAATAAAACTGAAATTATTAAGTGCAGTTCAAGTACGACAAACCTTACATTTTAGACATTTTAAATACCAAATTCCTCTAAATAGTTACTGAGTCAAAAGAATACATAACTCTAATAAATGAGAAGCTTTCACAGTGCCTACGATAGAATAACTGGGATCAGAGTTAAGTTCCTGCCATAAACAACTAGAAAAACAGAAAATATTTTTAAAGACTGTTTTGAGACTTTGAACAATAGATATCCCAGGAGTATAATCCCTGATAGAAGAGAAACAAATGAGGTGAGCCTTATAATCACCTTGACTTTCTATCTGTGGGCACTTTTCAGACCATAATTCACAAAGGAGAATCCTGAGCAGAGCTCAGTAGTCTTACTGTGTTGAGGAGATAGCAGACTTTGAGGAGATAAAGGCCCTTAGAATATTTGATACACAGCACCAGAGAGGAGGGATATTACGCAGACTGAAAGGGCTCCGTAAATCTTCACAGGAATTACCTTGAGTGTTTGACTGACGGCCAGGGTGCAGGGAGAAACTTGACAAGGCCAAGAAATAATAATTGCTATACGCTATAAGGTGAACACATCTCTGAGCTCACAGAGATCTGGTAGATGTTCCAAACACATCCAGCCAAAGGGGGATCTTTTTGAACAATTAGAAGAATCAAAAGTGTCATGATTTAATAATAACGCTAAATTTTCCCTGGAGTAACAGCTATCCTGGACCTGCCTTTTTTAAAAGGATGTAAAATAAAGCCTAAAAAGGCTAGACTTGATCAACAAACAACTAAATTGTCTCACAAAATAAATATAAACACTTATTAAATTAAGATAATATAACCGAAATATGCAATAATGTAGTATTAGCAATATTTGCATAAAATAGAAAATTACTAGACTCACAAGGAGCAGCACATTGTGTGTCGAAAGCAAGAGAAAAAGGAGTTAATAGAAACAGACAGAAATAACAGAGATGTTAGAATTAGCAGAAAAGATCTTTAAAACAACTCATAAAAATATGTAAAGGAAAAAAATAGATGTTAAAAGAAAAATAAAGGATGATAAAAGGACCCAAAATGGGAATGACATCAACGAAAATAGTAGTTAGCTCCAAGAACTCATCTCTCCACAGAAACATTGAAAAATCAGCAAAACCATCAGAATCAATTTTGTCAGAACTCTGCTAAACAGTCAAAGGTTTGCAACAACCAAGTGAATGCTGAATCAAGAAAGAGACAATTTAGAAATAATAATAAACTTTTGTGACATTTTTACTTGCCTTTGCTCCATCTCCCTTCTTGGCTCAGTGGTGGACTTGAAGATGGTAGCCCATGCTCCCAGAGTGGAGCCCACACTGCGTGTTGGTGGCTCACTATCTGCTCTGTCCCACATCTACACAAATTCTCATTCTGCTAAAGCCGCAGCCTCTACCAGAGACATGCCATTCCTGTGACAGAAGAAATAGAGCAATGGCTCAAACTTTACCTCAGACATTGAGCTCTTCAGGTCCACTCACAGGTCATTACCTAAAGCATGTCACATGGCCAGTGTGACAATGGGATGTGTAAGTAGAGATATACAATCGTCTTATAAAGAAAAGGAGTACATAATGATTGGGAGCAATAATGCAATCCACCAAAGTTGGTTACTTTTTGTCTCATATATCCCTTTTCTATTCCTTTATTTTTCCATCATTTTTTCTGCTTCAGTTTTGGATGTGTCTCCAGTAACCAAATATAATTAGGTTTTTAACCTAATCCAACAATTTCTGACTTTTAATAGATAGAAATGTCAAAGTTTCAAGGCTTCGCTAAGAGTAAGCTGATGAGTCTCAGAAACTAGTTGTGATGTTGAACTAAATGGAATAGACAAGAGCCACAATGCAAAGCACACGTACAGGAGTACACTGTCAGAGAGTAATGCCAATTGGACACCTCCATTCCACATCTGGCTAGTTTGGAAAATCTATACCTCATACCTTTTGGAGACTACATTTGATCAATCTAGAAAATGTCTGTGCTCACTTATTGGCACCTAACCATCACTCCAATTCCTAAGGATTTTTAGGCTAATATAAGGATTAAGTATACATTAATACAGTAAATGGAGAAAAAGTCATCATTTACAGCTTTTGGCAAGAATGGAAGAATTTTTCTCCATTTTAACAGAAAAAGAAAAAAAGTAGCATTTTCAGAGCACTAGAAAGATCATTTTTGCCAGTATCACTGGGAAAGGAAAATCTGACATACTTTTGTCAATTATTTGGTCATATCAAAAGTTTTCTGTTTCAGTTTACCTAAAAGTCTAAAGCAGGCCAACAAGCTTTCAGTAATTGAATAAAACAAAACACCTGGGATAATTCCCTTAGAGTCCTGAACATGTCTATTTGGTAACTCTAACTAAACTTTGTAATTGTGATTGGTTTTTCAAGATTAAAATTCTTTGATTACAATAATAATTAACCTCTTTTAGGTCATATTCCCAAGAGCCATTCTCAATTAAATCCTTAAGAACAAGCAAAAGCCTCAAATATCACTGTTTATTCATGGCGTATTTTCATAGAGGAAAGAACACATCACCTCGTAGATACAGAAAAAAGTGGCAGAAATTCAAAGTTCCGTTTATCTTATAAAGAATTTGGAATTTTCAGAATAAATACATGAAAACAACTGGTAAGCAGATTCCAATTCAATGTAATGATGGACTTTGTGACAGAGCTGTAAAAGATATAACAGGCCATCCACAGTAAGTCTCTCAGGCTATAAAAATATTTGGGAAGGATATTGATATTTAGTCCTCAATGGAACTATGTGATTCTAAATTCTCCTTCCAATCCTGAGATTTTTCTGAATCTAAAGTGTTCTTGTTACTCAGTTACTGAAAGTAGTAAGACTAGCATTTCCAAATGTGGGCCATGAAGGTGACAGTTGACTAGAGAGCTGAGTTCTGATTCATCCTTACATGACTTATCACTCATTTAGACCAAAACCAGAGCCTCTCTGGCCCTGTTTTCCTCTCCACAAAAGTGGGGATAAGAGTCCGTATCTCGCCCATCCCTAAAGAAAGCAAGTGTTTGGAATCAGCCAGAATCTGTCTTTGCCACACATTAGCTATGTGACTTTAGGTAAGTTGGTTAACATGCGCAAATTTCAGTTTTTTCATGTGCAAAGTGTAGATCACAATCCTACTTCCTACTTCAAAAGTTTGTTGAACTTACATGTATGAAATAGCAGAACCTTGAAATAGGTTAATAAACTACTGACAAAACTGCAAGTAGAATATGACAAATTCAAAAATCAATCACAGGGATGATTTAATGTACCTCTGTCCGAAACCAATAGCTCAAAACTAAAAGGCAGTATGGAAACAAAAGCTGCAAATCTGAAAATTAGCAAGAAAATTTTGCATCTAAGAAAGAGACGATACACATTCTTTTCTAAACCCATTCAAATTTCTAAAGCATGTGACAAAGTGTCTGGCACATAATAACCAAGAATTCAACACGCGTCAGCTAGTACCACAGCCATTACCTGAAATCTAAAAATAGAAATCAAGGCCTATTGAGAAGATGAGAATAGTGACTTCATCTGTACAAGCTTTAGGCCATTATGGGGATCAATTGGTGGAAATTACTAGGAAAAAATGTTTTATCTCATTAAAAAAGGATTTTCTAAGGGTCAGAGGTGATCAAATATGAAATAAAATACATGAATAAGCAATGAGTTTGCCACAACTGAAAGATTCTAAGCACAGACAGTTTGACTTTTTAGTGAGGAAGATATGGCATGTTTGAACAGATGACACTGGACTCCCAGTACTGTGAAGTTTTCCAAGAAATTCAAGTCAGAACAAGAAAATAATTCATCATACAACATTTAGAAGAAATCAAATACAATTCTGAAAAATTAATGTTCTTATTATGTTTAAATATACAAAATACATGCTGAGAATTGAGTGGTCAGTTTTGAATTGTCTGCGGGATATAAGAATATCTTCCATTTTATTGTATAGAGAAGTATACGCTGAAAACGTACACATATGCAGAAGGCGGTGTGGCTTACATGGTCAAATAGTTTTAGGATATTTACATTACCAAAGGTTTTATTGTGGACAGAAGTCAAGCAGTTTCAGTAGAGATCTGTGTTATTACGTCTCCACCGCGTATTAATATTTTCACATTTTTATTACTCGTAGAGATGGAGTTGACAGTATGTTTTTTTTTCCCATGTTTTATCCTTATAGGTACATCCTTTACTTCCATCTGCCCTGCTCCCAGTCTTATTTACTTATTTATTTAGCAAAACATTTATTAAACAGCTACCTTGTGCCAGGTGCTGCGTTAGTTGCTCGCTTGTACAAATCTTATCTCATTTCAACCCTCCCTACCATCCTAAGCATAAGATATTTATGGCATTTCCCTTTGCAAGTGAGAAAATTAGTCACGTCTAGAAATCACAGAAATAGAACTCAGCCTTCCAAATTCAGATACTCTTACCACTTTACTGCATTGCTCAGTTTATTCATAAAACTTGAAGTGAGAAATTATTTGGCTTTTTAAAGATGCATCCACAATTTCAGATATTTAAGGTAATAGCGTGTGAGAGGAGTTCAGAGTAATTTGTATTTACATGAATTGACCCTTGGAAATGGAGGGAAATGTAAACATCATGTGCTACAATTCAGTAAGGATACTGAGACCTGGAATGTAAAAGAGATTATTAACAAAGAAAATGTTTATTATTTTCTGATTTTACTCACTATAAGTTCACTCACATGTTCCATCTACAGTCCAATCAGCAGGGAACAAGTTTATTTGGCTACAAAACATACTGATAATATGAACAGGAACCATGGAAGTGCTTTGAAAGAGGTATACCTTAGTAACTACCAAGAAAAATCACATGAAATTAAGCTATTTATATCTAACGAATTGTTCATGTAAACAATGTCTTGTTCAGCTCTTTACACATACTCACACAAAATGTTTTAGAATTTAAAATATTATACATGAGTTATTTTTTTGCTTTTAAATCATTTCTAGCTGGAGGTTAGAGATGGTTAAAACAAAGTAAAAAAAAATAAACTCTGTTCAGAAAAAAGAAAAAATGAAAATTTAATCTCATTTGAGGATACAGGCATGCACTGGGGAAAAAAACAAGAAGAAAGCAGTGGAGGTATTCTCAAGAAAAGCTACATAATAAATAGGCACAAGAAAAGCTACATAATAAATAGGTAAGATGTTTGGTGGATTCCAGGAAACACTTGAACCTAAGTCAGGATGCAGAAAATGCTAGTTCCGAACTAAAACGAAATAGTTGGTCATATGGAAAGGAACAATCATTTTGAATGTTGGGTAACAGATAAACTGAATCGCCTGCGTTTGCAGTTTTCTGCATTTAATTAGGTAATGTTGAATGCAATTGATAAGTTTTGCATTTCTAATTACCCATTCTTACATAGTTTGTGCTCCAAGATTTTCTCCTAAAAGAGTAAGCCAGCTTTTTGCTGTAAATGATTTACTTGGGGCGATGGACTGATGGTCTAAAGCCCCAAGCAAAGAGTCTAACGAGGGGAACTCTTCTATTTCTATATGTGGTATAATGCGAAAATTTTGAAGAACGCCCTGAACAGTTTTCGTAGAATCACAAACTTTCAGAAACTTAAAGGCCATTTAGTCCAATATTCCAATACAATCTTTAAATCTTCACTAAATTATCACTATTGACTTTGCTGCTGCTGTTACTATGTTTCATTTTTATAACCTCTTACCCACAGGATTGGAACAGTTATAATCTTTCATTCATAATGCACTTTGGCCTTTGGTCCATTTATGACTCTCTTTTATTTTACTGTTTGTTTGTTTGTTTTTAATAATGAAATAAACATCTATTATTCTACACCCAACCCAAGAATTAGAACTGTATCAATAAATTACAGCTACCTATGTGCTCCTCCTCCATCTCATCCCTCTGCCCCTCCACATAACCGCAAAAAACTTTATCATCCTGTTTATATATAGTTTTATCATAAATACACATATTCTAAACAATATATGGTTTAGGTTTAGTTGTAATGCTGCTATGTATGGTCTTCCAGAACTTGCTTTTTTTCTCCCAAGCTTTATTGAGGTATGATTAATAAATAAAAATTTGTTTAATTTAAGGTGTACAATGTGATGTTTTGATATATATATACACTATGAAATGATTACCACAATCAAGTTAATTAACATATCTATCACCTCACATAGTTACCTTTGGATGTGTGTACGTGTGTGTGATGAGAACACTTGAGATCTACTCTCTTAGGAAATTTCAAGAATATAATACATTATTATTAACTGTAGTCATCACGCTGTACATTAGATCTCCAGAACTTATTCATCTTATAACTGATCATTATCTCTCCTTTCCTCCAACCCCCAGCCTCTGGTAATTGTCTTTCTACCTTCTATTACTATGAGTTTGACTTTTTTTTAGATTCCACATCTAAAGGAGATAGTGCAGTATTTGTTCTTCTGTGTGGCTTATTTCACTTGGCATAATGTCCTCCAGGTTCATTCATATTGTTGCAAATGGCAAGATTTCCTTCTCTTTTTTAAGGCTGTATAATATTTCATGGTATGTATATGTGTGTGTGATATATATATATATACATAATTATGTACCCATTTTTTTATCTATTCATCCGTTTATGGACACAGCTTCTTTCTATATCTTGGCTACTTTGAATAATGCTATAATGAACATGGGAGTGCAGGTATCTCTTCTAGATAATGATTTCATTTCCTTTGAATAAATATCCAGAAGTGGGATTGCTGGATCATAGGACAGTTTTAATTTTCTGAGGAGCCTCCACACTATTTTCCATAATGGCTCTCCCAATTTACACTCCCACCAACAGCGTTCCCTTCAAAAAGTCAAAAGATAAGAAGTATTGGCAAGGGTGTGGAGGACAGGGACTTGGTTTTCTTATTCGACCTTAGGTTACTGGAAGTCATCCATTCTTTCACTCGTGGCTGTAGCACATTCATTTTTCACCATGATTATATCTCATTGTGACTATATTCATCTTCATCCTTTCTCTGTCAAAGGACATTTAAATTGCTTTCAATTTTTTGCTCTCACAATCACTAACGTTCTGAGTAATTCTGCATGTGTTTCCTAGTGCAGATGTACAATTTCTCTTGAATGTAGTGGTGGGTTGTAGAGTAGGCCAGTGTTCAAGTTTACAAAATAATGATGAATTGTTTTCCAAAGTGGTGGTTTCATTTTACACACTCACCAGCAATATCTAAGATTCTGTTGATACACATATTCTATGACACTTGGTGTTTTCAAAATTCCTATTTTTACACAATTGAGTGGATTTGAATTGGCATCTCATAGTGATCTTGATATGGGTTTCCCTGTTAACTAATAGGATTGAACATCTCTTCATACGTTTACTGTTATATGTGTTTCTGTGAGTTTCTATTAATAATTTTTGCTGATTTTTCCATTGGGTTGTTTGTATTTCTGTTACTGATCTAAAAGACGCTTTAGATGTCTGGAGTTTACTCCCTGTTTTACACAAGGTATTGTGACTATCTTACCCAATTAGAGGCTTGTCTTTTTGTTTTCTATCAGGTGCCTTTGAATAGTAAGATTTCTTAATTTTAAAATATCTGAATTTATTAATATTAGTTCTCGTGGTTAACACTTCTTTCATGTTAATAAGAAACCATCCCTACAGAATTTCAGAAA